AGTGTAAGACATGAACAAATAATAATAATTTCTAAATTATCAAGGGGGGGGCGTAAATGAGGAGCTGACACCAAGGGCTAAGGTAGAAAGAAAATGCTTTAAGAATGATGATGGCAACAAATGCACGAATGTGCTTGACACAATGGATGGATGGATTTGATAAGAGTTGTATGAGCCCCCAATAAAATTATTTTTAAAAAGAGGGGGCTTTCAGCTACCATAGAGAGTGGCAGCCTGGGAAACCCACAAGGACAGTTCTGCTGTGTCCACAATATTGACTAATGGCTCATAAGAAGATGGAAAGGGTACACCGTCCGTGCGGAACATAACTAGCCAGCACTCCACCAGCGCAGGAGGCAGCACATGGGCAAGAGCCAGCGGTGCTGAAGGAGGAAGTTCAAGCTGCACTGAAAGCATCAGCCACAAACAAGGCTCCGGGAATGGGTGGGAAAGCACTTGAAATGTTTCAACAAGTCGACGAAGCCCTGGAGCCACTCACCCACCTGTGCCAGGGAATTTGGAAGACAGCTACTTGGCCAACTGGCTGGAAGACAGCCATATTTTTGTGCCCATTCCAAAGAAAGGGGCCCCAACAGAAGGCTCAAATTACAGAACAGTAGCATCAGTATCACATGTAAGTAAAATTCTGCTGAAGATCATTCAACACAGGTTGCCGCAGTACACTGACAGGGAGCTGCCAGAGGTTCAGACCGGATGCAGAAGAGGATGTGGAACAAAGGATCTCATTGCTGATGTTACATGGATCAAAACAGAGAATCCCATAGAGACGCTCACTCGTGTTTTATTGCTGTGCCATTACAAACTGTGGGTAACCTTGAGAAGAATGTGAATTCCAGGACACTTCATTGTGCCCAGGTGGTACTTGTACTGGAATCGAGGGGCAGACATGCGAGCAGAACAAGGGGATAACCTGCCTGGTTTACAATCAGGAGAGGTGTACGTCGGTCGTATCCGCTCACCGTGCTGGTTCAGTCTGTATGCTGAGCCCATCCCCCAAGAAGCGGGATTCTATGAAGAAGGTGGCATCAGGCCTCGAGGAAGGTTTATGAACTACCTGTGGTATGCAGATGATGCAACGCTGTCCTCACCGAGCGTGAGCACTTGAAGCGCTTGCCGATGAGGATCAAGGATTGCTGCCTTCAGTGTGGATTACAACTCAATGTGAAAAGGCCCAATCCTCACAGCCAGACCAGCAGATCACATCCTGGTCAACGGAGCAAAGGCCAAGGGTTTTCTCTTGCTTGGCGCAACAATCAATGCTTATGGGAAACAGCAGTCAAGAGATCAAGTGCCATATGGACTTGGGTGAATCTCTTGCTGAAGACCTCTTCAGAGCGTTGAAACACAGGAAGGTCACTCTGAGGACGAAGATGTGCCTGAGCCACGCCATGGTGTTCTCCACTGCGGCATATGCAAGTGAAAGTTGGACGATGAATAAGGAAGAATCGACACATGTGTGATTGTGGTGCTGGAGAAGAACACTGAAAGTACCGCGGGCTGTGAAAGAACACACTGGTCTGTCTTGGAGGAAGTACAGCCAGAGCTTAAGACTGGGTCGTACAGACTTTGGCCCTGCTGTCAGGAGCGACCAGTCCCTGGAGAAGGACATCACGTTTGGTGAAGTAGAGGGGCAGCTAGAGGAGACCCTCACGGAGACGGACCGATGCCGTGGCTGCCACAATGGGCTCAGGCGTAGGACGAGGATGGCCCAGGACCGGGCCATGTGTTTCTGTCGTGCACAGGGTTGCTATAGGTCAACCGACTCGCTGGCACCTAACAAAAACACCCTATCCTGAAAGGTCACTAGGCGTCAGAAGGGACTAAGGACAGTGAGCATCCCCCTCAGGAGCCTCATTTCCGAGGTGCATTCTGACAGGGCTTTTCTGAATGCCGACGGCCTGTCTTCTGGGAGTCCACGGCCCTTTCAATCACCCTCACCAGCACCATCCTGGAATGTGCCGATTCTTCTTGGTCTTTCTTATTCATTAGCCAGCTTGGAGGTGACTGAAAACATCTTGGACTGGGTCACGCACGTCTTAGCTCCCAAAGTGACATCTTTGCTTTCTGACGTTCTTGAGGTCTTGTGGAGCACATTTGCCGAACCCAAAATGTCCCTTGGTGTCCTCACTGCAGCCTCCACGAGCACTGGCTGTGGATCCATGGACCACGGGCAGCTTTGCCAACATCAGTCTTGTCTCCATTTATGACGATGCTGTCTATTGGCTCGGTCGGGAGGGGCTCTGTTTTCTCTCCCTCGAGTGGTCCTGTGTGGTGATCTTGGGATGAAATCATCCAGGTGCCACAGGGAGTTATATGTTTGTTGAGCTGCTAAGCACAAGGTCAGCAGTTCGAAACCATCAGCCACTCCAGGGGTGAAAGATGAGGCTCTCTACTCCCGTAAAGAG